TTTCACCTAGTCGGCTCGGGGATTAGAACCAGCGACCTTTCAGGTTACTGGCACAACGCTCTTAACCACTAAGCTACCTGCCGCCCATATTTCCTTTGTTAAACTTCAGTTAATTATTCATAAACAACCAGACAATCATCAATGAAGAAATGTGGAGTTACTCCAACAAAATCCAACTGAAAATGCATTTTAAAATGCATTTCTTATTTGACCTTATTAAGACATCTAAATAAATGGTACACTCACAGTCTGGAAATTGAATTATTGTTCTTAAAAGCAGAATCGTAACTTCAAGATCATAATACCTCAAACTAACGTAAACTTCATAACATGTATCAAGTTAGGATTCAGCCCTAAGCCTTTAATCACTTATTTTTGTCAATAGAAATCAGTCCCCCTCGTTCTGTCTCGTCTGTGTACACTGACCAGTCAGAAGAGGCTCATATTTGGCATCTAATTAATTCAACATCTCAATTAAGGCCTCCACTCCATCCCTGCCCCACTGCCTTCTCATTCTCCCCCACAGAGCAGTCCCTGGCACTCCTACAGACTGCCTCGCAGCCTGCCAAAACATTTCAATCACTGTCTGCCTTAATTAGGCCAAATAGGAATTCAGAATGTTAATGAACTGCCCTGGTGCCTTTCAGAGGCTACGGTTCACATGCTAATTTATGCAAAACGGCGGGGCCTCTTCATGGTTTGACCATCGTCTACCATAACACTGCCTGAGCCGGCCCAACCCACCCAGCCAAAGCATGGCCCTGGGGGGCGCGGGCTGCACTGCCCAGCTGGTACCTCAAACTCTAGTTGGCACAGCTAACACTGAGCTCTTTTTCAAAGAGCTGGAAATGGCTTCCACACTGAGAAAAACAACCACATAGGTTTAGGGGGAACATCTGAGACTCTCTTGTTATGGTAGAAATGATAAAAACATATTTATAGTTCACTACCAAATACCATGTCAGCATAAAAACAATGGAATTTTATCAGTTTCCATTCACCTTCATCTCTTTGAAATGATGGACGCTGCAAAGTGGTAAATGTCATTGATCTTATCCACTCAGATGGCCATAACAGTGTCACCTTTTACAAGTAAAACAGCCAGACCCAGCTGAGATCCAATCCAATGGATTGAAAGAAGCAGTGTGAGAGTTTCACAGGTTTCTGCCCCACAGATGTTGTCACTTAAGAGTGCCAAGCAACTCCCTAAAATGGCCGAAACGCTGCCATTTTGTTTTCATCCTGTTCCCTCCCTTCCTTTGCATTGCTTGCAGGCTATCCACACAGCTATGTTCAGGCTAGCCACACAGCTCTGTTCAGGCTATCCACACAGCTCTGTCAGGCTATCCACACAGCTCTATTCATGCTATCCACACAGCTCTGTTCAGGCTATCCACACAGCTCTGTTCAGGCTATCCACACAGCTCTGTTCAGGCTAGCCACACAGCTCGGTTCAGGCTAGCCACACAGCTCTGTTCAGGCTAGGGGGAGGCAACTGGGGGTTTAAATTCTGCTTTTTACTTCTGCCTGTTAAACAGCAAGGTTGTAGGGCTGGAAAGAACCAAGTTTCTAAAGAAAATGGGCACTAATTCCTGGCGCGGCTCTCCTTTATTACATGCCAACCTCTCTGAATGCCAGTGAGTTAGTCTTTAGGCTTGCACAAATTATCACACTTTCTGTAGGGACTGTTTTGTTTTTATTTAGTTTATCTTTTGACCTAAGCTACCTTTTGCGATTCTGTATCGATCAGATCACATGCCTGCTTTTCTCTATAACTGTCACAGTGACACGAACACAGCTGTCGTGGCCTTAATATGAATGGATGATTCCTTGGGTTCAGCAACACAGATCACACAAAGCAAAGCAGTTGAACCAGGCCCAGGTTTAAAGAGCAGAGCCAAAACCAAAGAGGAAATTGCTCCTTGGAGCTAACTCCCTATAAAACTGTTACCAGACTAACTCTTCAGTCCATTGTGGGGGATGTCATTTGAATAATCTGGATCTGTGCAAGGTTTCTGTTTATGCCTGATTATTCAAGTTGGTTAAATCTACTGTCCTGTAGTGTGTCTGAATGTGTGTGTATCTATGTGTGAGCATTTGTACAAATGCAAATGTGCAAAGGTGTGTGTATGTGTTTATTATGTACAGTAATGATCAACCACTAAACATACAAATGCTCTCTCTCTCTCTCGCTCTCTTTCTCTCACAGTTTCCCAGTAGAAGTCCTAACCTCCTCTCCGGGTTGATGATAAATTGAGCACCTGTCCTTGAGGCTGAGGTAGTAGATTGAATAGTTGTGGGGTATATGTCCTCCCTCTGAGATAACTATACAATCTACTGTCTTTCCTAAGGAGACAGACTGATCGTCAATACCCCTGAAGCCTGACCATTTTCCCCTGGCCGTCCCATCCGTCTCCCCAGCCTGGACACCTGCCTGCAGCTTGTCTCTGTTCTTTGTGGAAGTTAAACCATTAGCATATCACATCCATTCACTGAATGTTCCAGGACAACATGAGGATGTGCAACATTTCCTCTGTTGGACCACCCAATTCGTTATTTGGTTTACAGCGATTGGGGCCTATTGTGATATGGCCCTATTGTGTTGGAGTGAAAGTGTGCTTTAGGGCGAGTGTGTTTGTGTTGTCGCCTCACGCTGTATGTGTTTGAATGACATTCCCCCTTCATCTGTCAGTCATTCAGGTGAATGTGTCCTGGCGAGGTGAGGTAGTAGGTTGTATAGTTTGTGGAGGGATAGAATCCTATTCAGGTGATAACTATACAGTCTATTGCCTTCCTTGAGAGGCACGCTGACCGTCTGCAGTGACGAGGAACTCTACAGAAAGCTGCTCGTTGAATTCCTCTATGCATTGGATGCAATCTTACTATGGTAAAGCAACAGAGGAGCGCTGGTGTGTTTATTATTAAATCCTTGCTAGTGCAGGACTCCAGAGACATCTGACCTAACTGTTCTTGTAGGCAGGGGTGGAAAGAGAACTGAAATATCCTACTCAAATAGGAGTGCTGTTACTTTAAGCAATACAAAATAAAGTGCATAAACAATAAAGTTGTCAGACTTCAATATAATTCAGACTCCATGTCGTTCACCCTTTAAATCCATCATTCACCCCTCTGTTACATCTTACTTGTCCATGGGACCGGCTGACATTCACTCACTCAACCATTCACACTCTTTCCCTCACTCCCTCTTTCCCTCTCTCACTCATTCACTCACAAACTCCCTTTTCCCTCACTCACCAGGGGTGGAAAGTGTACTGAAATATCCTACTCAAGTAGAAGTACTGTTACTTTAATGAAAATACTTTTTAAAAAGTACTCAGAAAAGCTACTCAATTACAGTATTGAGAGTAGTTATAATGAGTTACTTTACACCTCTGCTCATAGATTCACGACTCAGAGCACCCCAGGATATGAAGAATATGAAATGCACTCAAGAGAGAATATATGAGTGTGACATAATCTAAACTATAAGGGTTGGTTCTCCAGACCTAAATCAAGCCCTAAATAAATAATTTCAGGCTTGTGTTATGTTACATGTCAACATTATTCAAGGTTCTATTAACGAATAAAGCTTAAATAAAGCTTTTAGTCTGTATTTTTAAGTAATTCAAGACCTCAGATTACTCCTATTTTTAGGGCCTCTACTCTTTAGCTTGTTCATAAATGATATTTCTCTTGTATATAATGTCATGTAGATTATAATGTTTTGTGTAGACATACCACAACTGTGGATGAAACTACATCTACCACAGCAATGCTACTAGTTTCACAATGACTTGAAGAGTTACTGTAAAGTATGACCTAGTTTATATGTGAGCAAGACTGAAAGTATGTAGCTCTAAAGGAAAAATACACAAAGGTCAGTGGAGGTCTGATAGAGTATATCCAGCCATTGTATCACTCTGGTAGGAACAAAATGCGTTCATCTATTGCAATATGCATTATTGCAATAATGTAATACGTATCCCACTGCGTACTGCCATCTAGTGTACTTACACAAGACCAGGGGAAGGGTAGAGATGTACTGCCAGTCAATATACATTAATCAATAGACACAATATTAGCTACAACAATTGTATATTACATGAAATGTAATAGTATGTATTTTACAAACCATTTTGAAATAAGAACTTTACTTCAAAGAGGATTTCCTCATCTCAGAAAATGTATATTTTGATTTGGAAAATTGTGATGGAGAACTATTTGTATATTTTATGTGCCACCTGATGGTATAAAGACATTACTGCCACAAAATACAGTACAGGTCTACAGACTCAATAATAAACATAGTCTTGTGGGGAAAGTTGTGTTAGAACGTTGTGTTGAAAATAACCATAATCATAAAGAAGTTAATTAGAGAAGTACTCCTTTATTGAGATAGTACATCTTATTTCCAATTCTGGGAAAGCACTGTACAGATGGTAACAATTGTAAAAACAACACACTTTTTGATTGAGGAAGTGGCATTTAGACAAAGGAAATGCAACAATTAAAGGAAACACCCAATAGTCTGTCTATTTTCATTTTTAACCATCAGTTTCATTTGCAACAAATGCACTTTGCTGTGATACGCCAACACCGTTGAGCAATGCTAAAGTAACATACTTTGACATAATAATATGCCATTTAGCAGACGCTTTTATCCAAAGCGACTTACAGTCGTGCGTGCATACATTTTTGTGTATGGGTGGTCCCGGGGATCGAACCCACTACCTTGGCGTTACAAGTGCCGTGCTCTACCAGCTGAGCTACAGAGGACCTTAGCTCTACCTGATCTATAACAGTAACACATGTTTATATTATACTGTTAATACAACGCATAAAGACACATATGAGATGTAGACCACATTCTAAATTGCTTTGCATCCCTACAATGACCCTTTTCAAAGGATCTGAGAATAAAACCCTGGAACTATAACTTCTTACCACACTCTTTACATGTCACTAACTGTCCCTCACTCACAATGTTGTACGCCGCTCAATTAGTCATTTCTGGGGTTACTGCTGATGTTCCTCTCAGTGGTCTGGTTGTCACCTCGACACACAAACTTCCTCCATATCCTCAGGTACGCTTCCTGGATCTTGCGGATCTTGAAGGCATACACGATCGGGTTGACAGCTGAATTGCCATGGGAGAGGAGGATGCCCACGTAGAAGGCCTGGTGGGGTATGTCTGATGGGTTACCAAAGTAGGCAACACAGTTCATGAAGTGCAGAGGGAGCCAGCAGAAGGCGAACAGCACCAGGACCAGAGTCAGGGATCGGGCCAGGCTCCTCTCCTTCCTGAAGTAGGTGTGGGACTGGGCACCGCTACCCGTCCTCCCCTTCAGGTTCTTCCGGATCGTACAGAATATGTAGCAGTACAGGACAGCCATGATAAGCAACGGGGTGAGGGTGCAGAGGAAGAAATTGAAGTATACGATGTATGACATGGGAATCACAGCCAGGAAATGGCAGATGATGGTGGTTGAGTTCCCTGAGTGAGACAAGGTGTCACGGTTGTACCACCCAAACATGGGTAGGAAGCTCAACATGAAGGCAACAAACCAACATATTGCTACCACCACCCAAGATCTCCTCTCTGTCACTGTCCTCTTGTACCTGTTCAAGCAGAGAATCTGTTCATCTGACATGACAACCTTAATGCTTTCCTTTGTACGCACACATCAGATTTATAATAATAATTACAGAGGGGAAATCATTTGAGAGAATGTGCGAGGTGATACATGCAGTGCCCTCGGTAATTATTGGGACAGTACTTTTTTTTTTTCTTCTTTCGGCTCTATACTCCAAAAGCAATTACTATGAGGTTAAAGTGCAGACTATCAGCTTTAATTTGAGGGTATTTTCATCCATATTCATGGCACGCAGTGACTACATCAAGCTTGTGACTCTACACATTTGTTGGATTGATTTGCTATTTGTTTTGGTTGTATTTCAGATTATTTTGTGCCCAATAGAAATGAATGGTAGATAATGTCTTGTATTGTCATCATGGTAGCATCCACATTAATGTAGAAGTGTTTAGAAACATATTATATTCTTATTTACAATAAAAGTGACTCCAAAATGTCACAATGCATTATCTACCATTAATTTATATTGGGCACAAAATAATCTGAAACACAACCAAAACAAACAGCAAATGCATCCAACAAATTTGCAAATGCATCCACAAGCTTGATTGCGTGCTATGAATATGGGACCAAGTACTTAACTTTTTACTACTTAAATACACATATAAGTGAATTTGTCCCAATACTTTTGGTTCCCTAAAATGGGGGGACTATGTACATAAAGTGCTGTAATATCTAGACGGTTCACCCGATATGGATGAAAATACCTTCAAAGTAAAGCTGACCGTCTGTACTTTAACCTCATAGTCATTGTTTGATTTCAAACAAATTAAGAAAAAATGCTTCACTGTCCCAATAATTACAGAGGGCGCTGTATCTAGGTCAGAAGACAGCTCACCTGAGCGGGATGAAGACGCGTAGATATCGGTCCACAGAGATGGCTAGCAGAAACAGTACAGAGGCCAATGTCAACAGAATTTCCACACAGCTTATGAAGAGACAGACATTGAATGAGGTCTGCACTCTTCCATCTACCAGTATAGCCGCTGGCACAGCCACAGAACCTACAAGGAAGTCTGCCACAGCCAGAGAAACCAGAAAGCAGAAGGTGGGCTGCCGTAGAGAGCTGTTTAACCACACTGCCCAGATCACCAGCACATTGCCCAGACAGCAAGCAACAGCGATGAGAACCTCCAGTACTGTGTAGGCCACTTCTCCTCCAGACATCCTGTCAGCCGTCCAAGGGAAGTTTAATATTCTGCTGTAGACTTGAACTCTACTGTATAATCCTGAGGAGTTTACAACAATGTTTCTTGGACCAGGCTGTCTTTGCTCATTGAAAAGGTTACTGCCCCCTGCAACTTCATGCTTACCTTCCATTTCCTTTTCAACAAATGCAAAAGGTTTCAATAATATGCACATTGACAAATCTTTAATATAAACCACATTTTAAACTGTCCTGCATCCTAAAATAATATATTATGAATTATTCTAATATAATCATGTAAGTAAAAACAATCTTCAGTCATTTTAATTGTCACACCCTGGCTTTGGGACTCTATATGTTGAGCCAGGGTGTGTTCATACTATGTGGTTTATTTCTATGTTGGGGGTTCTGGTTTGTTGTTTTCTATGTTTGCCTTAGTGACTCCCAATCAGAGGCAACGAGTGTCAGCTGTTGGCTGGTTGTCTCTGATTGGGAGCCATATTTAACTGTCTGTTTTTCACTTTGTGTTTGTGGGTTTTTGTTCCGTGTTCGGTCATGACGATCGTGACATTAATAAAACAAATGGCATCTTTGTGTATCTATTATTTATGTTATATATACAGTATATATATATATATATATATATATATATATATATATATATCAAATTTTATTGGTCACATGCGCCGAATACAACAGGTGCAGACATTACAGTGAAATGCTTACTTACAGCCCTTACCCAACAGTGCATTTATTTTTAACAAAAAAGTAAAAATAAAACAACAACAAAAAAAGTGTTGAGAAAAAAAAAAGAGCAGAAATAAAATAACAGTAGGGAGGCTATATATACAGGGGGGTACCATTGCAGAGTCAATGTGCGGGGGCACCGGCTAGTTGAGGTAGTTGGGGTAATATGTACATGTGGGTAGAGTTAAAGTGACTATGCATAAATAATTAACAGAGTAGCAGCAGCGTAAAAAGGATGGGGTGGGGGGGCAGTGCAAATAGTCCGGGTAGCCATGATTAGCTGTTCAGGAGTCTTATGGCTTGGGGGTAGAAGCTGTTGAGAAGTCTTTTGGACCTAGACTTGGCACTCCGGTACCGCTTGCCGTGCGGTAGCAGAGAGAACAGTCTATGACTAGGGTGGCTGGAGTCTTTGACAATTTTGAGGGCCTTCCTCTGACACCGCCTGGTATAGAGGTCCTGGATGGCAGGAAGCTTGGCCCCAGTGATGTACTGGGCCGTACGCACTACCCTCTGTAGTGCCTTGCGGTCGGAGGCCAAGCAGTTGCCATACCAGGCGGTGATGCAACCAGTCAGGATGCTCTCGATGGTGCAGCTGTAGAATTTTTTGAGGATCTGAGGACCCATGCCAAATCTTTTCAGTCTCTTGAGGGGGAATAGGCTTTGTCGTGCCCTCTTCACGACTGTCTTGGTGTGTTTGGACCATGATAGTTCGTTGGTGATGTGGACACCAAGGAACTTGAAGCTCTCAACTTGTTCCACTACAGCCCCGTCGATGAGAATGGGGGCGTGCTCAGTCCTCTTTTTTTTCCTGTAGTCCACAATCATCTCCTTTGTCTTGGTCACATTGAGGGAGAGGTTGTTGTCCTGGCACCACACGGCCAGGTCTCTGACCTCCTCCCTATAGGCTGTCTCATCGTTGTCGGTGATCAGGCCTACCACTGTTGTTTCGTCGGCAAACTTAATGATCGTGTTGGAGTCGTGCCTGGCCATGCAGTCATGGGTGAACAGAGAGTACAGGAGGGGACTGAGCACGCACCCCTGAGGGGCCCCCCTGTTGAGGATCAGTGTGGCAGATGTGTTGTTACCTACCCTTACCACCTGGGGGCGGCCCGTCAGGAAGTCCAGGATCCAGTTGCAGGGGGAGGTGTTTAGTCCCAGGATCCTTAGCTTAGTGATGAGTTTAGAGGGCACTATGGTGTTGAATGCTGAGCTGTAGTCAATGAATAGCATTCTCACATAGGTGTTCCTCTTGTCCAGGTGGGAAAGGGCAGTGTGGAGTGCAATAGAGATTGCATCATCTGTGGATCTGTTGGGGCGGTATGCAAATTGGAGTGGGTCTAGGGTTTCTGGGATAATGCTGTTGATGTGAGCCATGACCAGCCTTTCAAAGCACTTCATGGCTACAGACGTCAGTGCTACGGGTCGGTAGTCATTTAGGCAGGTTATCTTAGAGTCCTTGGGCACGGGTACTATGGTGGTATGCCTGAAACATGTTGGTATTACAGACTCAGTCAGGGACATGTTGAAAATGTCAGTGAAGACACTTGCCAGTTGGTCAGCACATGCTCGGAGTACACGTCCTGGTAATCCGTCTGGCCCTGCGGCCTTGTGAATGTTGACCTGCTTAAAAGGCTTACTCACATCGGCTACGGAGAGCGTGATCACATAGTCATCCGGAACAGCTGGTGCTCTCATGCATGCTTCAGTGTTGCTTGCCTCGAAGCGAGCATAGACGTGGTTTAGCTCGTCTGGTAGGCTTGTGTCACTGGGCAGCTCGCGGCTGTGCTTCCCTTTGTAGTCTGTAATAGTTTTCAAGCCCTGCCACATCCGACGAGCGTCAGAGTGTAGTACGATTCAATCTTAGTCCTGTATTGACTCTTTGCCTGTTTGATGGTTCGTCGGAGGGCATAGCGGGATTTCTTATAAGCGTCCGGGTTAGAGTCCCGTTCCTTGAAAGCGGCAGCTCTACCCTTTAGCTCAGTGCGGATGTTTCCTGTAATCCATGGCTTCTGGTTGGGGTATGTACGTACGGTCACTGTGGGGACGACATCATCGATGCACTTATTGATGAAGCCAGTGACTGATGTGGTGTACTCCTCAATGCTGTCTGAAGAATCCCGGAACATGTTCCAGTCTGTGCTAGCAAAACAGTCCTGTAGCTTAGCATCTGCGTCATCTGACCACTTTTTTATTAACCGAGTCACTGGTGCTTCCTGCTTTAGTTTTTGCTTATAAGCAGGAATCAGGAGGATAGAGTTATGGTCAGATTTGCCAAATGGAGGGCGAGGGAGAGCTTTGTATGCGTCTCTGTGTGTGGAGTAAAGGTGGTCTAGAGTTTTTTTTCCTCTGGTTGCACATTTAACATGCTGGTAGAAATTAGGTAGAACAGATTTAAGTTTCCCTGCATTAAAGTCCCCGGCCACTAGGAGCGCTGCATCTGGATGAGCGTTTTCCTGTTGATTTATGGCCTTGTACAACTCATTCGTGCAATCTTAATGCCAGCATTGGTTTGTGGTGGTAAATAGACAGCTATGAAAAATATAGATGAAAACTCTCTTGGTAAATAGTGTGGTCTACAGCTTATCATAAGATACTCTACCTCAGGCGAGCAAAACCTCGAGACTTCCTTAGTATTTGATTTTGTGCACCAGCTGTTGTTTACAAATATACACAGACCGCCACCCCTTGTCTTACCGAAGTCAGCCGTTCTATCCTGCCGATGTAGCGTATAGCCCGCTAGCTGTATGTTATCATTGTCATCGTTCAGCCACGACTCGGTGAAACATAGGATATTACAGTTTTTAATGTCCCGTTGGTAGGATAACCGTAATCTTAGGTCATCCAATTTATTTTCAAATGATTAAACGTTGGCTAATAGGATTGATGGAAGAGGCAGTTTACTCGCTCGCCGTCGGATCCTTACAAGGCACCCCGATCTACGTCCACGATATCTCTGTCTCTTCCTCACGCGAATGACGGGGATTTGGGCCTTGTCGGGTGTCTGTATGATATCCTTCGCGGCCGCCTCGTTGAAGAAAAAATCTTCGTCCAATACGAGGTGAGTAATCGCTGTCCTGATATCCAGAAGCTCTTTTTGGTTATAAGAGACGATGGCAGAAACATTATGTACAAAATAAATTACAAATAACGCGGAAAAACACACATAATAGTACAATTGGTTAGAGGGCTGTAAAACGGCAGCCATCTTCTCCGGCGCTGTTCTAATCACTTTATATATATATATAAAGTTCTGGGCAAAGAGGGGTTTTATAGGTTAATGCATTTTTCTCAGGTTGGCATATATTGGGATGAGTCATGTACTGGAGGCAGCTCTCAGGGTAGTCACTAGCTGTCACAGCCACAAAGTCATAAAATCGGATTTTAAACCCAACCCTACCCTTACGCCTCGATCAGACCAACAGTGTCATTGCATCAATGCTGCTTAATAAATTCTACAGTCAAACTGTTTTTTATTGGATATGTGTACAACAACAGTTCAACATTCACCTTTTGCTACTATTTCTGTCAAGTCTACACATACAATTTGATGCATACGTTGGATATATCCAACGTATGCACCACACAGAACACAGAATGCACTGCAACTGCCTCTGCAATGCAATGTTGCAAGGCAAATGCAGCATTCCATTGGAAATGAATGCACTTCTGGTGTACCAAAACGCAATGAAGCTGTCGGTGTGATCGAGGCTTTAACCACACTGCTAACCCTAATACCTAACCCTAACCTTAAATTAAGAGCAAAAAGCACATTTTTGTTTTCATGAATTTGTACAATATAGACAATTTTGACTTTTCAGCTGGCAAATCTAGTGGAAATCGCTCAGTTCTGCCTCCAGGAAAATAATACTTTTTTAAATAATGGATTTAATGGTGCTCCGTGGGATGTTCAAAGTTTCAGATAATTTTTTATAACCCAACCATGATCTGTACTTCTCCAAAACTTTGTCCCTGACCTGTTTGGAGAGCTCATTTGTCTTCATGGTGCCGCTTGCTTGGTGGTGCCCCTTGCTTAGTGGTGTTGCAGATTCTGGGGCCTTTCAGATCCCACAGAGCACCATTAAATCCATAATAAAAAAATGGAAAGAATATGGCACCACAACAAACATGCCAAGAGAGGGCTGCCCACCAAAACTCACGGACCAGGCAAGGAGGGCATTAATCAGAGAGGTAACAAAGAGACCAAAGATAACCCTGAAGGAGCTGCAAAGCTCCACAGCGGAGATTGCAGTATCTGACCATAGGACCACTTTAAGGCGTACACTCCACAGAGCTGGGCTTTATGGAAGAGTGGCCAGAAAAAAGCCATTGCTTAAAGAAAAAAACAAGCAAACATGTTTGGTGTTCGCCAAAAGGCATGTGGGAGACTCCCCAAACATATGGAAGAAGGTACTCTGGTCAGATACTAAAATTGAGCTTTTTGGCCATCAAGGAAAACGCTATGTCTGGCGCAAACCCAACATCTCTCATCACCCCGGTGGTGGCAGCATCATGCTGTGGGGATGTTTTTCATCGGCAGGGACTGGGAAACTGGTCAGAATTGAAGGAATGATGGATGGCGCTAAATACAGGGAAATTCTTGAGGGAAACCTGTTTCAGTCTTCCAGAGATTTGTCAACGTCTGGGTGAAGTGGTGAAACGGAATCAGCCGCAGGACACAGAACTGAGAAATGAATGGATTTACTAAAACAAAAGTAAACCATAACAAACCCTCCACGCAGGGAAGAGCAGCACAACAGCTCACCAAATGACGTAAAACCACGGACAATCACGCACAAACACAGGAGGGAAAACAGAGGTAATTATAGGGAAACAAATAAGCATAATGGGTAACAGGTGTGAATAATAAAGACAAGACTAGTGTAACACAGAAACATCGATCGGTGGCAGCTAGTACTCCGGTGACGACGAACGCCGAAGCCTGCCCAAGCAAGGAGGACGTATATATATATATATATATATATATATAAATATATAAAAATATTGCTTCTTCAAAGTGGTAGGCAAGTTGTGTAAATCAAATGATACAACCCCCCCAAAAAATCCATTTTAATTCCAGGTTGTAAGGCAACAAAATAGGAAAAATGCCAAAGGGGGTGAATACTTTCGCAAGCCACTGTATGCCCCTTTGTTTTGTTTGGCTAGGGGTTAGGGTTAGTGGGTAAGGTTAGGAGTTAGGTTAAATGGTTAAGGGTAGAGTTAGGGGAACGGTTAGTTAAATTCCTCTGTAGCTCAATTGGTAGAGCATGGCGCTTGTAACGCCAGGGTAGTGGGTTCGATCCCCGGGACCACCCATACGTAAAAATGTATGCACGCATGACTGTAAGTCGGTTTGGGAAAAAAGCGTCTGCTAAATGGCATATTATATTATTTAAAAGTTTAGGGTAAGGGTTAGCTAACATGCTAAGTAGTTGTAGTTGCAAAGTTGCTAAAATGCTAAAGTTGTCTGTGATGAGATTCAAACATGCAACCTTTGGCTTGCTAGACGTTCGCGTTATACGCCCACCCCGACCAACCACCCTCCTTTTGTTTTTGCCTTAAGTAACCCACTGCTTTATGTAACCACACCAAACCTAATATATATCATAACATATAATACTAATTTGACTGTCCCAGATTTACATTTACTATGTTACGTCTAGTCTATGAGACCAGGCTGGAATTTGAAGTAGCATGATTTTCTAAGTTAAAAGCAAAAAGAAAATATAATGTAAGTGAAACATTTGAACTGAATTGTGGGACATTGTTAAAAATGGTGATTGAACTTGATTACTGAAACGATGATGATTGGAAACCATGCCTTGTAATACATGTTGAAACACTGTGCCTGCTCATTCCAGACATTACACCTGTCACTTGCCACATTGTGACATGAATACCATTCTCAGAGGCAAGTATATTTTTGAACATCCTTACTCGAAAGCCACAGGAAATGTGTACAGCACGACCACAGCTAAACATATTTCTCCAGCCAACGTAGAGCTGAAGATGGCGACACCTTGCCTCGTATTACCAAATGTTTATGTAGGATAAGGCTTCCTCTGAGAAGAACAAAAATGTTTTAGCTGTGGTAGAATTTTATGTTTTTACAGATTTACTACAAGTCTATTACACAGTCTCCTCCTACTAGCAGTGTAGGAGAAGTGAGATTCCATAACACCACCTATCACCAACCTACAGCAGTCAGGTGGGGGCTGTGACATTTCCGTAAACCTTTTCAATGATCAAGTGAACATCCTTGAGCCTACAGGAACAAAAAACGTGCTGGCAAATCTCCAGGGGTATAGAATAGACCACACTTAGTGTTAAGTACAGTAATTGCCAATATTAAACTTCCCTTGGATGGCTGACAGGATGTCTGGAGGAGAGGTGGTCTACACAGTACTGGAGATGCTGATCGCTGTTGCCTGCTGTCTGGGCAATGTGCTGGTGATCTGGGCAGTGTGGTCGAGCAGCTCTCTACGGCAGCCCACCTTCTGCTTTCTGGTTTCTCTGGCTGCAGCTGACATCCTTGTAGGTTCTGTGGCTGTGCCGCTGGCTGTGCTGGTGGATGGACGGGTGTGCACCTCGTTCAATGTATGTCTCTTCATAAGCTGTGTGGTCGTCGTGTTGACAATGGCTTCAGTCATGTCTCTGTTAGCCATTTCTGTGGACCGATTCCTACGCGTCTTCATCCCTCTCAGGTGAGCGTGCATGCATATACAGTACACACACACAGCTTTTAAAAAATGGTTGTCATGTCAGATTAACAGATTCTCTGCTTCAATAGGTACAAGAAGACAGTGACAGAGAGGATATCTTGGGTGGTGGTAGCAATATGTTGGTTTGTTGCCTTCATGTTGAGCTTCCTACCCATGTTTGGGTGGTACAACCGTGACACCTTGTCTCACTCAGGGAACTCAACCACCGTCATCTGCCATTTCCTGGCTGTGATTCCCATGTCATACCTTGTTTACTTTGCCTTCTTCCTCTGCACCCTCACCCCGTTGCTTATCATGGCTGTCCTGTACTGCTACATATTCTGTACGATCCGGAAGAACCTGAAGGGGAGGACGGGTAGCGGTGCCCAGTCCCACACCTACTTCAGGAAGGAGAGGAGCCTGGCCCGATCCCTGACTCTGGTCCTGGTGCTGTTCGCCTTCTGCTGGCTCCCTCTGCACTTCATGAACTGTGTTGCCTACTTTGGTAACCCATCAGACATACCCCACCAGGCCTTCTACGTGGGCATCCTCCTCTCCCATGGCAATTCAGCTGTCAACCCGATCGTGTATGCCTTCAAGATCCGCAAGATCCAGGAAGCGTACCTGAAGATCTGGAGGAAGTTCTTTGTGGGTCGAGACAGTCAGGGCTCTCAGAACAACCAGACCACTGAAAATAATATCAGCAGCAACCCTAATAGTGCGGCCAGAAATATTGATGGCAATGCTATCAGCATTGTGAAAATCAACACAGTTGAGGGTACAGCATGTTAATAGCGTAGGAAGACAATAGAAGTGATAGTCGCTTGGCTTTTTTTCTTTGGCAAAGTGCATGAACACCTTAGAACCTGTATAATAAGGGGAAACTACTGCCAGGGTGTTAAACATTGGCATATTTTTATATTTCGCATTTGTTGAAAAAAACTGAGTGAGAGAAATAGACAGAGGAAGTTGCAAGGAAGTCAAGTAACTGGGCTCTTATCGATTTCCTGTTTAAAGACTCTTGAATGTACTGAGGCTTGCTGGCAGTCATCGAAATTATGCAATGCCACTCCAATTCAATTAATTTCAGTGCATATGATATTTCAATATGTCAGTGTTTAAATTGTGTGTCCCTTTTCTGCATGGTTCCATGACTATTCTAGCAAAGAGCTGGTCCAGAATGATAAGTTGATGGAGAAAAGGTACAGTGTCACGGTTTCGGCCAAGGCTGCTCCTCCTCCTTGTTCGGGCAGGCTTCGGCGGTCGTCGTCTCCGGAGTACTAGCTGCCACCGTTCGATGTTTTATGTTTGTTTGGTTTTGTCTGTTTGTAACACCTGTCCCTTGTTAGTGTTTGATTGTGTTCCCTATTTAGTTTCGTCATTTGGGTCAGGTGTTATGTGTGATTGTTTTTGTCAGCTGTTCGTGTTCATGGGATTTTGCTCTCTTTCTGTGTATTTTTGAGAGTCCGCACTGCGTGCGCTTTTCCTTGTTTTACGCACTGTGTTGTGTGCGCTTTTGTCGTTCTTGCCTCCCGGTTGGGTTGGCTATTTTCTCCTGTTTGGAGTTGTTTTGCACCACTAAAAGACTGTTGACGAACTCTTGTGTGCCTGCGCTTGATTCCCTACACCACATCCACACTCAGCGTTTGTGACATACAGAATGATAAGTTGATGGAGAGAAGGTACAGAATGTGAATTAATGTGCAAATGGTGGGCTGTTAACCTGAGTGAAGTTCAAGTAAATAATCACATAAAATTATAACGTTTCAAAAAGATAAAAGGGAAGAAAATGTGTGTTGAAATGTATCCATGAGCATGAATGTGATAATCATCTGCCTGCCACTATAGAGTTGCATAACTGAATGGCTGTAGTTATGCACTAATGTACCCTTCGAAACTTACCATCTTACTCACAAGTTATTTAGCTGGTGTAATGAAATTAAATCACGGATTGCAACTGAATAACTTGCACATTACATCATTTCAGTTACTCCCATGTATCTTATTTATTGATGCTTTGTGATTAAGGAGAAATCTGTAAGGGCAGTGGAAGCACTCCAGTCACACTAAGGAGGATGGATTGATTTATTCATTCATTCACCTTTATGAACAAGGCTAAAGGCGGGACATAACATTTATCTATAGGGGATGTAAGATTCTATTTCTAATTCTACAGATTCTCTGTGTGGTTATTCAGGAAGTAAAAACATATATCACATCACATACAGTGGGGAAAAAAAGTATTTAGTCAGCCACCAATTGTGCAAGTTCTCCCACTTAAAAAGATGAGAGAGGCCTGTAATTTTCATCATAGGTACACGTCAACTATGACAGACAAATTGAGAAAAAAAATCCAGAAAATCACATTGTAGGATTTTTTATGAATTTATTTGCAAATTATGGTGGAAAATAAGTATTTGGTCACCTACAAACAAGCAAGATTTCTGGCTCTCACAGACCTGTAACAACTTCTTCAAGAGGCTCCTCTGTCCTCCACTCGTTACCTGTATTAATGGCACCTGTTTGAACTTGTTATCAGTATAAAAGACACCTGTCCACAACCTCAAACAGTCACACTCCAAACTCCACTATGGCCAAGACCAAAGTGCTGTCAAAGGACACCAGAAACAAAATTGTAGACCTGCACCAGGCTGGGAAGACTGAATCTGCAATAGGTAAGCAGCTTGGTTTGAAGAAATCAACTGTGGGAGCAATTATTAGGAAATGGAAGACATACAAGACCACTGATAATCTCCCTCGATCTGGGGCTCCACGCAAGATCTCACCCCGTGGGGTCAAAATGATCACAAGAACGGTGAGCAAAAATCCCAGAACCACACAGGGGGACCTAGTGAATGACCTGCAGAGAGCTGGGACCAAAGTAACAAAGCCTACCATCAGTAACACACTACGCCGCCAGGGACTCAAATCCTGCAGTGCCAGACGTGTCCCCCTGCTTAAGCCAGTACATGTCCAGGCCCGTCTGAAGTTTGCTAGAGTGCATTTGGATGATCCAGAAGAGGATTGGGAGAATGTCATATGGTCAGATGAAACCAAAATAGAACTTTTGGTTAAAAACTCAACTCGTCGTGTTTGGAGGACAAAGAATGCTGAGTTGTATCCAAAGAACACCATACCTACTGTGAAGCATGGGGGTGGAAACATCATGCTTTGGGGCTGTTTTTCTGCAAAGGGACCAGGACGACTGATCCGTGTAAAGGAAAGAATGAATGGGGCCATGTATCGTGAGATTTGGAGTGAAAACCTCCTTCCATCAGCAAGGGCATTGAAGATGAAACGTGGCTGGGTCTTTCAGCATGACAATGATCCCAAACACACCGCCCGGGCAACAAAGGAGTGGCTTCTTAAGAAGCATTTCAAGGTCCTGGAGTGGCCTAGCCAGTCTCCAGATCTCAACCCCATAGAAAATCTTTGGAGGGAGTTGAAAGTCTGTGTTGCCCAGCGACAGGCCCAAAACATCACTGCTCTAGAGGAGATCTGCATGGAGGAATGGGCCAAAATACCAGCAACAGTGTGTGAAAACCTTGTGAAGACTTACAGAAAACGTTTGACCTGTGTCATTGCCAACAAAGGGTATATAACAAAGTATTGAGAAACTTTTGTTATTGACCAAATACTTATTTTCCACCATAATTTGCAAATAAATTCATAAAAAATCCTACAATGTGATTTTCTGGATTTTTTTTATTCTCATTTTGTCTGTCATAGTTGACGTGTACCTATGATGAAAATTACAGTTCTCTCTCATCTTTTTAAGTGGGAGAACTTGCACAATTGGTGGCTGACTAAATACTTTTTTTCCCCACTGTACAGCTCATCTGGACACAGTGTACGGTCCAGTCATTTATGCAAAGCCATTTGAGAGGATGAAATCGGTCTTGGTTAGCACAAAAGCATGGGGGGACAGAATGTTAGTTTAGCTCCTCACAAATCCTCTTGGGTAAGTGTCAAGGTCCTGTCTGCAGTGCATCTCAGGTGACAGAAAGAGTACTAAAATCTTAAAATGGCACCTAGGCTCTCACATTTTCATTTGACACCCTGTTATCTTGAGTGGCACTGCTAAGAAATATCCAATCTCCCAAAAGCTTGTTTTATAAGACCCACCTGCCAGACCACAGTCACAGCTCCCCCCTATCCCACATGTATGCACACGCACACACACACACACACACACACACACACACACACACACACACACACACACACACACACACACACACACACACACACACACACACACACACACACACACACACACACACAAACACACACACCACACACACACTTCTGATGGTGTGTGAGAAGCTCACTATTGTTCCGGAGGAGTGATGGGAGGAGGAGGTACAGACCTGCTACAAAGAGAACGAGGCCCCTCCCCTCTGAGGGAAGGAGAGAAGCAGGGGATCAGCCAGTCAGTGTGGAGCTAAAAGAGGATGCTGGACATTTATCTCCCCAGATCCGTCCATCGACATAGGACCCACTCAGTGAGTCAATGCCAGGTCAGCGACCACCCACGCTTCTCTCAGCAGCAGCAGCAGCTCAGAGGGAACACACAGAATTGTAGAGGACACAATGAAATGAGTTGAATGCATAGGACCAACCGAAGAAGAAGAAGCTTTAACTACCTCTTAAACAATTTCTAATCTGAGGCAAGGCAAGGGGAAATCCGAGGACTTTTAAAATGTCTTCCTTTCATGGTGTCAAGCAACGGGAGCATGTGGACATAATGTACATCTCCATGGAGACAGCCATCGCCCTGGCCTCTGTGCTGGGCAACGTGCTGGTGGTGCTGGTGGTCTGTATGAACCGGGCCCTGAGGGACACCACGTTCTGCTTCATCGTATCTCTGGCGATGGCCGACATCGCTGTGGGAGCCCTGGTCATCCCCCTGGCTGTAGTGATCAGTCTGGGGCTGAAGACTCAGTTCTACACCTGCCTCTTCCTCTCCTGCCTGCTCCTCATCATCACCCAGGGCTCCATCCTGTCCCTAATGGCCATCGCCATCGACCGTTACCTCCGGGTCAAGATTCCCACGAAGTGAGTCCACCGAATTATGCATGCTATTTACTTTTCCCAGGTAGCGTTCCGAACAGTCTGAAAACAACTGCCAACTTTATCACACAGAGGGCTCTATTTTAACGAACCTAATGCAATGGTAAATTTTAGCACTGGCGGTAGAGCTGTAGGTTCCAACGTGATCCATGGCTAAATATGTGGTTGCTTCAAGTTGTGTATTTACGGTCTTTTATGTATTGCGTTTTCATCAACACCAATTAGAATGTTAGTCCATTATAGCCTAGTTTGTTAAATAGCCTACAGAAACAAAATAACTAAATATAGGCCTATCCCATTTTTCAAAAAATGTTGAACATGTTTGCAGTCCACATTGTTCTAAGTAATTGCATTGCTTCAATATGGAAATATATTGTTAACATAGGCCTACTATAAAATGAATATAAAGCCTTTTTTACATCAGCAGATGTCACAAAGTGCTATACAGAAACCCAGCCTAAAACTCCAAAGACCAAGCAATGCAGATGTAGAAGCAAGGTGGCAAAGAAAAACTCCCTAGAAAGTCAGGAACCTAGGAAGAAACCTAGTGAGGAACCAGGCTCTGATGGGTGGCCAGTCCTCTTCTGGCTGTGCCTGGTGGAGATTATAAGAGTACCGTTAAGGCCAGATTGTTCTTCAAGATGTTCAAACGTTCATAGATGACCAGCAGGGTCAAATAATAGGGTCAAATAATAATCACAGTGGTTATAGAGGGTGCAACAGGTCAGCACCTCAGGAGTAAATGTCAGTTTCCTTTTCATAGCCGAGCATTCAGAGGTCGAGACAGCAGGTGCGGTAGAGAGAGAGAGAGAGAGAGAGAGAGAGAGAGAGAGAGAGAGACAGGAGATAAGACCAAAAATACAAAAATGGGCTAATGTTGCACAATCTAGAAAGCTCTTTGCATCTTAGTAAGACTCACCGCTGAAATCGCTGCCAAAGGTGCTCCTACAAAGTATTAACTCAAGGGTGTGAAAACTTATGTATATGAAATATTTCTGTATTTAATTGCAATACATTTGCACAAACTTTTAATATAGGATTGCCCATAATGAGATTGATTTTGCTTTAGGGCAACAACTTCAGCATTTTAATGTATTCCTAGTGAAGAAAATGTTCTGTTAATTCTAATTACACATTGATGACTTAAATTACAAATTGATGAATTAAATTACACATTGATGACTTACATGTTAACTTTTATTTGTAATTGAAAATAACTGTTTGTGGTGCGAGGGATACCAAGGGAGTGTGCAGTGGCAATCTAAGTAGAATTTCTCTCAGACTGCTGGGAAGCCATATATCTCAGCTTAGTTTAATACAAATCAATGGGCTAGACATTGAAAGCTTTTAAGTAAATTAAAATGTTCCTGTCCGTCCCAAGGAGTGATTTTTAAGGCTGGTTCGTTGGGCCTTTTTGGCAGAGTTCCTGGTGCGTCTTATTTATTTGTAGTGTCATGTGGACAGGGGAGTTGTGTAAGAGAGATAAATATATGGCAACAGCAACTTGCTATCAAAGGGAACAGTTCCTTCATTTTGGAGTGTCATACCACCACCTTTTATATTCTCACATAAAAATCTGAAAGTAATGTATATATATACTGAACAAATATATAAACGCAACATGTAAAATGTTGGTTGCATGTTTCCTGAGGTGAAATAAAAGATCCCAGAAATGTTCCACATGCACAAAAATCTTATTTATCTCAAGTTTTCTGCACAAATTTGTTTACATACATGTTAGTGAGCATTTCTCCTTTGCCAAGATAATCCATCCACCTGACAGGTGTGGCATATCAAGAAGCTGATTAAACAGCATGATCATTACACAGGTGTATCTTGTGCTGGGGACAATAAAAGGTCACTCTAAAATGTGCAGTTTTGTCACACAACACAATGCAACAGATGTCTCAAGTTTTGAGGGAGCGTGCTATTGGCATGCTGACTGCAGGAATGTCCGCCAGAGCTGTTGCCAGAGAATTTAATGTTAATTTCTCTACCATAAGCCTCCAGCGTCGTTTTAGAGAATTTGGCAGTACCTCCAAACGGCCTCAAAACCGCAGACCTTGTGTAACCACGCCAACCCAGGACCTCCAACCATGTGTAGACCTTGTGTAACCACACCAACCCAGGACCTCCAAACACGTGTAGACCTTGTGTAACCACGCCAACCCAGGACCTCCAACCACGTGTAGACCTCGTGTAACCACACCAACCCAGGACCTCCAACCATGTGTAGACCACGTGTAACCACGCCAACCCAGGACCTCCAACCACGTGTAGACCTTGTGTAACCACGGCAACCCAGGACCTCCAACCACGAGTAGACCTCGTGTAACCACGCCAACCCAGGACCTCCAACCACGTGTAGACCTCGTGTAACCACACCAACCCAGGACCTCCAACCACGTGTAAACCTTGTGTAACCACGCCAACCCAGGACCTCCAACCACGTGTAGACCTTGTGTAACCACACCAACCCAGGACCTCCAACCACGTGTAGACCACGTGTAACCATGCCAACCCAGGACCGCCATCCACGTGTAGACCTCGTGTAACCACGGCAACCCAGGACCTTCAACCATGTGTAGACCATGTTTAACCACGGCAACCCAGGAACTCCAACCACGTGTAGACCTCATGTAGCCACGACAACCCAGGACCTCCAACCACGTGTAGACCTTGTGTAACCACGCCAACCCAGGACCTCCAACCACGTGTAGACCTTGTGTAACCATGCCAACCCAGGACCTCCAACCACGTGTAGACCATGTGTAACCACGCCAGTCCAGGACCTCCACATCCGGCTTCTTAACCTGTGGGATCGTCTGAGACCAGCACCCGGACAACTGATGAAACTGAGGAGTATTTCTGTCTGTAATAAAGCCCTTTTGTGCTGAAAAACTAATTCTGATTGGCTGGGCCTGGCTCCCCAGTGAGTGGGCCTTGCTCCCAAGTGGGTGGGCCTATGCTCTCCCAGGCCCATCCATGGCTGCACCCCTACCCAGTCATTTGAAAATCCATATATTAAGGCCTAATGAATTTATTTCAATTGATTCATTTCCTTATATGAACTGTAACTCAGTAAAATCATTTAAATTGTTGCATGTTGTGTTTACATTTTTGTTCAGTATAGATCCTTGCATTTACTTAGCTCTCAGTATTTTACATTCTAAAATCAATATGTGCCAAATAAAAATCCATATTTTTGTCCTGAGGAAATTTGGTGACACTTAAAATATCTGAAAGCAAAGTAGCTTGCATTTGCTTATCTCTCAGTATTATGTGCCAAAATAAAAAAATCCATATTATTATTATTTGGTGACACTTTGTAAATCACCTTCAATGAATAAATTAATCCATTATGCTTCTGTCACGGAACACGTTTGACACCCTGTTAGCTTGAGTGGCACTGAAACAAAGGTAGAACAGTATGACAGTACCTGTTTTATAAATGAATACATGCATAAATGTATTGAATTATTAATGCATTGAACAGAGATGGTGCATCATTGTTATTCATAAAAGCTCATACTTAGCTCCTTAGAACAGCATGTACTTTAACAATGCATGCCTGATGCATCCAGCAAGTTCTTGCACAAGGAGCTAAAGCTAGCCAAGTCCCTGGCGCTCGTCGTCTTCTTATTCGCTCTGTGCTGGTTTACACAAGTGGCTTATGGAAATGTTTCCAGACATATTTGTCTGGAGATAATCAGAAGTCTAAGCTAAGCTTTACCTCCAACTGTTTTGTATGTTCTATGTTTGTCAATGTACTGTATCGTTTTTCAAACTGAATTCCTCCGGTCCTCTGCAGGTACAGCATCATCGTGACACAGAACAGGGCATGGGTGGCAGTGTTCCTATGCTGGCTCCTCTCTGCCCTGATGGGGCTGGTGCCCATGTTGGGCTGGCACAACGAGCACACAAAGAATAACCTGAGCATCATCAGCGATGACATAATAGTTTGCAAGTTCACTAAGGTTATGCGCATGGACTACATGGTCTACTTCAACTTCTTCGGCTGGGTGGTGATTCCTCTGACCATCATGATCGCGCTGTACGCCGAGATCTTCAGGGTGATCCGGAAGCAGCTTAACATGCGTGCCGAGGCCACCTGCGACACCAGCAAGTACTTGCACAAGGAGCTAAAGCTAGCCAAGTCCCTGGCGCTAGTCGTCTTCTTATTCGCTCTGTGCTGGCTGCCCCTGCATGTCATGAACTGCATCCTCTTCTACTGCCCGGAGTGTGGGATGCCCAAGAGCGCCATGTATGTGGGAATCTTTATGACCCACATCAACTCTGCCCTCAACCCGCTGGTCTACGCTTTCCGAATACAGCGGTTCCGTACCACGCTGGTCCAGATCTTCCACCGCTGCATGCTGTGTAAACCCACGGAGACCAGACCTTGCCCCAACCAGCCCAGCCCAGCCCACCACCCCTGTTTGAGAAAGTCCAACCCTACCCAGGACCTGCCCTGTTTATAGGCTTCTCCTGCGAAATGTTGTGTCAAAGAAGTAGCCATAGTGCAATAATAATGAGACTTCTGCTATGCAACCATCATCTGGGATGAAGGATACAGCATATGGACTGCAGTCTGTTTTGTGAAGGCCCCCATTAGTGGACTGGACTCCAAAAAAAAAACACTTCACTGAATTATGAGAATTAAGTTAATTAACATCTCGTTAACATTTGCAATAGGCACCTCCTGGGATAGACAATCCCGGAAACAGGAAGACTTTAAATGCAAGTATTAGCCCATATCTGTACTAACTGTAAGTCGCTCTGGATAAGAGCGTCTGCTAAATGACTAAAATGTAAATGTAAATGTAACTTACTGACGCCAGCTAAAATTCATATTTTGTATTTTGCTTTATAACGAGATCCTTGTCAAATTGGCCTATAACACACTCACCAGTGGAGGCTGCTGAGTGGAGGACGGCTCATAATAATGTCTGGAACGACGCTAATGGAATGGCATCAAACATATGGAAACCATGTGTTTGATGTATTTGATACCATTCCACTCATTCCACTACAGCCATTACCACGAGCCTGTCCCCCCCAATTAAGGTGCCACCAACCTCCTGTGACACTCACACACCCTTGGACTCATTCATACAAATGGCTTGCTTCTAAATTTGAATCATACAATAATGCCTTCTGTGGTATGCTGTATAAATCTGAAGTCTGATTGGACCATTATTTTTTCTATGATATTGTCTGTGAAAATGATCATTGAATCCATTCATCTGTTGTATAAATAAACATGGCGTTGTAACAAGAAGAGAGATTTACAAGAGTACAATATATACCACTGTGTAATCCCATGAAGACCACTCAATAGGCCTATTTCTGTTTTATGTTCTAGCTAATGTCCATCAAGATCCAATAAAGAAATGCCAATCAAGACGATTCTCTCTAAACCAACTCCAACGATTGTTCTAAAACCTCCAACCAAAGAAGACTGCTACCTGCAGTCAGATGACGGCTGTTTTCAGGTGAACAGGTTCAACAATGCTTTGTTTGAGGAAACAGATCTAGTATTTTCTCTTGAGCTTGGTTGGGCCATCATTTTCATAACACTAACAGGGTGTTGGAAAAGGCTTAGGCCATCTGAGTGAGTCCATTTTAATTCCAGAGTGAATTACATGCAGTAGATTGTGACTTCCCCTCCCTCGCCCTCTTTCTCAACAAGCCTTGAGTCACTCCCCCTTTGCACACTCTCTCCCTTTCGTTCTAAAACATGTGGATTTGTTTACATAGGCATAGCTAGCTAGCTAGCCAGGCATTTCATATCGCTACAGCAGCAGTCTTCAGTCGTGGTCAAAAGTTTTGAGAATGACACAAATCTTAATTTTCACAAAGTCTGCTGCCTCAGTTTCAATTTGCATATACTTCAGAATGTTATGAAGAGTGATCAGATGAATTGCAATTAATTGCAATGTCCCTCTTTGCCATGAAAATGAACTTAATCCCCCAAAAACATTTCCACTGCATTTCAGCCCTGCCACAAAAGGACCAGCTGATCATGTCAGTGATTCTCTCGTTAACACAGGTGAGAGTGTTGACAAGGACAAGGCTGGAGATCACTCTGTCATGCTGATTGAGTTAGAATAACAGACTGGAAGCTTTAAAAGGAGGGTGGTGCTTGAAATCATTGTTCTTCCTCTGTTAATGTCACGGTTTCGGCCGAGGCTGCTCCTCCTCCTGGTTCGGGCAGGCTTCGGCGGTCGTCGTCCCCGGAGTACTAGCTGCCCG